TGGTGTTTTGTTTGTTTGTTTGGTTTTTTTTTCTTTTTTTTTTCCGGTTAAAGAGGATTATAGCTGTAATGCTGAAATTTCCATGCATCTGACAAATATGATATATAATACATATTTTTCAGTATCTTGTTAGAAATAATACAACAATTTTATTCTGGAATTAATTGAAGGAAGTCAAAAGCAAGACAAATCACTTGATAAAGTTGCTTTCTTGCTGTTAGTGAGAATTTGCAATGAAATCTGAAGTTTGCAGGAATCTAAAGCTTGTGGGTGCTGTGAGCTAGACCCGTGACAGTGAGGAAGGTACTGAACTCTCCTTTTGAGCGTCATCTTTGGGGTGATGTTACTTTTGAATTTTTTGTCAAGTCAAAATTAGACGTTTTCTTCCTTGATATATTTATTGTTTGCTTGCTTAACTTCCCTTGAAAAAGATGCATGAGAGAGCTGGGAAAACTCCTGCCTTCAGAAACACGTAGCCAAAATTTAAAAAAAGATGTAGAAACATTACTGTTTCATTTCTTTATTTTAGGTGTACATAGGGAAAAGGATGACAGCTTATTTTCTGGTTTTTGGCAAAGATACAAGTTTACTGACAGTGTTGTTTTCTGTTGCTACTACATACTAACATTGTTTCTGATAGCTGGAGTATTTTGTGACTTATTAAAAGTAACCTCAAGTAGTACTTGTCAAAACAAGTGTTATGATGTGGTCTTTATTTTTTATATGTTAGTTTTTATTCTGGATTATGACTGCAGAGCTTTCATAATGTACATGAAGGAGTGTGGTTTGATGCAGTACATTTCTAATGCATCTCCTAATGGTTTTAGGAAAAATACAACATTCCAAACTGTGAGCTGACTATTTGTCTGACTGCAAACAAGAGATGTTTTCCAAAGGATGTATTCTGTTGTAAACCTTGTGAAACCCAGAATATGTGTAACCTTAGTTATGTTTCTGTTGCTGCACATGTGTGTTGCTCAAGTTAAAATTTTCTATGTACACATATGCCTAGTGCTACTAGAATTGTCCTGAACAGAGCAGGATGAGAACTTGTTCCCCTCCATGTGCATCAGAAAGTAGTAGTTGAATGGTGTTTTTTTTTGTCTTTCTCTTTTTATCTTAATACCATTTGGTAATAGATATATTGTTTTCTAGTGGTTGTTTAAAATAATGAGTTTTAGGGTAGGGAGGAAATGATACATAAATATTTTTCTTGCTAATTTTTAACAAAATAAATTTAATTTGCTGCCTCAAGAGGGTGCTGTCTGCTAGCAGTTTAAATTGCAAAAATGAAGTAATTCTGGTTATTGTAGTTTAAGATTGAGCTATT